CATGATTCCGAACTGTTCAGTTATACTGTACCACCGAATCATTTTGGAAATGAGTTGGTCATTTCCGACTTGCAGGCTCATTGCGAAAACACTATATTACATCGGAAATACGACAGCAAATCGTCAGTTGCAAAAGCAAGTTGGATACACACGAGGCTTTCACTATGGCATTCATGCTCTTCCGTAATATGTGTCGAACTGGTTTGGTGACCTACTACAACTAGGTCAAGTCATGACGCGCGTAGCTAGCTAATGCTGACCAGGTTACCATGACTCACTGTCACGGTGCGCTACAGAGCCCACGGTCATGATGCAAAAGCGGAGCCCGGCCGAGGCCCAGTTCGACTTCCCGGCTACCACGAAGCCCGCGTTACTAGCAAAGACCTCCCAGACCTTATACGCGTCCGAGACTCGATGACCAGGACCATGGTCCGGGCATTGAAGACCAACACAAGGACGGAGATCCTTCAACCGGCAACCGACGATGCAGTAGAACTTAGAGCTTTAGAACTACAGCTACAACCACACCTTAAACAAACTCGACTTTACATTTTGCCTCGAACTCCAAACCTGGGTTTGAGTTTCCCTGTTTGCCCGCGCCTACCCATCGAAGTGTCATAAAACCCCGTGAAAATTCTGGTGGAGCAGCAGGGTAGACGTTTGCAACGGAATCAAGAAAGAAATTTCGACGGAATCCTCAACTGAAGCAAGCAAGGCTACGCGTTATTCCCGCCGGTTGGCAGGACTGGCTCCCGAGACCAGGAGCCTGGAACGCACGTCCTGGACGAAGACTATCGCCCCGGCCGACCACAATGGCTCGGCAGGACCGACGATCCCGCCGCCGGAACGGAAGCGCGAAGCCGACGGCTCACCGAACGTGTCACCTCCGACCGACAGGAAGGACACACGCTCGGCCCCAAAGAAGCTGGCGGTCATGGCGGAAGACGTCATGGCACCTGAAGACTTGGGTGAAGACGTCGAGGATGCCCAAAATGAATACCAACTTTGCCTGGCGAACCCAAGTCCGGCTCCCGAAAGCACCTCCCTGGTCCAAGAGGTCACCGGTGGCCCGGTTCATGGACGCCTACTCCAAACGATCCTGGTACCTCCGTGGTCGCGACGCTGGTGGTGATCAATGGCGGAGTCCAGAAGCTCGGACGGACTTATGGAGACCTGATGAAGACGTTCGAAGAGAACCAGAAGGTCGAGGCCCAGCGGTTCCTGAAGCAGTTCAAGGACGAGAGAGCTCGACTACTGGACGACAAGGATACGCGTCTGGTCGGGATGGCTGAGGAACTGCAGCGGGCTGTGGAGGCCCACGAAGCTCGTCGCCAGGATGACTACAAGAAGGCTCTGGTGTACCTACGCGAATGTTACGACCGTGAGCTGGAGCTAGCGCGCTCGCATGCAAAGACTGAAGCGACGGCTGTCCTGCATGAAGAATTGAAGAGACTTGAAGACTCCTGGAACGCCAGGATGGATCAAGTCACGAGGCGACTCAACTTTGACTGGGAGACGCAGAGGTCCCTGATCCTCCAGGAGAAGAACCGTGAGCTCGAGACCATGGCCAGGAAGCACTCCGACTATGTTCAAGCCATCCAGGATGAGTCTGAACGTGTCCTACGGGCGACCAGGATGGAGAGCAATCACAGCCGAGAAGACGCCCTTAGCCGTTTGCACGAAGACCTAAGGAACACGAAGAGGTCTCACCAGGAAGAGCTCACGGTCCTGTTGGCTGAAGCCCGCCGTGAAATCGACGCGAAGGAATCGGCCTATGAGGTGTGGGAAGCTCGCCGAACCCAGGAGATCTCGACCCTGCGCGAAGAGATCAACCGGGTGACCATGGAACTGGACGCTGCCAGGTCCGCTCAACGACGGCAGGAAGTCCTGAATCGCGTCAATTCGACATGCCGCAACTGTTCTGTCCTGCAGGACGCGAAGGACAAGCTCCAAGCCGATGTCCAGGATCTCGAGCGACGTCTCCAAGCTGCGCTCAACCGTCCTGTTCTGCCCTGTGGCCACTGCCCGGCGCTCCAAAAGGCGAACGATGGCCTCCAGGGCTGGCTCCGTGGACTCGAACTTCGGCTCCAGGAAGCCGACATGGATCAGAAGTGCGTGGCCCAGCAGCTGGAAGGAACTCTTGATTCTCTCCAGAACGCTGAACGACGTGTCCGGGAGACCCACGAGCTGCTCCTCCTGGAACGCGAGCAACACGAGAAGGACTTGGACGAGCACCAGGAGAGCATGCGACAACTCGAGCACGATGTTCAGGAGCAATTCATGTCACTTGGGCAACCCGGCAGTGCCTCTACTGAGCAAGAAAGGTCACAACTGAACGTCGACAGAGCCGCCCTGGAGCGTGAAAGTCTATCAACCGGGACGTCCTGGCGCGCATCGAGGACGGGTTGGCCTGCCAGGAGACCAACATGGGCCTCCTGAACCAATCTGAGGAACAGCTGAGGCGCGACCGGTACGCCCATGAGACCCGGGCTAGGCACGAACTCGCGGAACTCGACCGGCAGAAGGCTCACCTCAACGTTGAGAAGCGTGAGTGGGAGTTAAGGAAGCAAGCGGATCGATTTCGACTCAGCTGTTTACAAGCCCCGTAAGGGAACCCAACACCGACACCCTCTCGGAAAGGGTCGCTGTCCGGGAAGAGCTCTGCGACATTCGTGACGAACCCGTTGATGTCCGCCTACTTTTCAGTCGCGTCGACACCTCGATACGGTCACAAAGCATCCCTGATCGTCCAGACCCTTCAGCATACCGAAGTGATGACGGAAACCGAAGACCTCTGGGCGCCTCCTACCTACCCTGGCGGATTGTCTGAACCCCAGCCGTTTGCACCCCCCCGGACGAGCTCGGCGGCCAACCCGGACGCTACGGGTCGAGTTGCCGGAATCGTCGGGAGCTTGGGAACGAACTCGGTGCCATACCGAAAGGTCGGCTCATCGGAACACTATCCTGGCGGACACTATGGCGGAGGATATCAGCCAGGACAGGACGGTCAGCGGGGAGCGGACGCCTCACGCCGTGGCAGAGGATCGAGTCTCCCCGGAAGACACGAACCCCCGTCGGGATACCCTGGACCGGGCGGAGATGGCTACGGAGGTGGCGGTCCTGGCGACGATGGACCTGGACGGCGCCGAGGCGGTTTCCCTGGCGATGGCCGAGATTTTACTCCGTGCTACCCTGGCGGAGGTGGATGTGGCGGTGGTGGTCCCGGCGATGGTGGTCCTCCTGGCGATCCTTATCAACCAGGCTCGTCCAGACCCCCTGCTGCGGGGGTTGCGCACGCAGGGCGACAGGCTCTGGCGGACGCCCGGAAGTATGCCCCCAAACAGGACAGTGTCAACCGACCTATCGCCTTGGAACACTTCCTGGCTAAGTGTTCTCGGCTTGGCCTCGATGTCGACTGCAAGTGCGAATGTGTGTATGTGTGTAGCCGAGCAATGGTCCTGGTTTGCCAGGATGACAGGATTATGTTCCAGGGTCCTAGCGTCCGGACGCTGTACTGCATAGAGTGTATAGTGAGGGGACGTCACTACTGACTGCGAAGTGAGGGAGGTAGCTTGGTAATGAAGTCAATTTTGGATTTGTCATCGAGGTCGCCGTTGTGAATACGGCAAGCCGTCGGTTACGAACACCGGCGCAAGACAATACTAAGTCGACGCGATCCTGGTCGACTACGGGATCACTGAGCGGCAGCGTGTCAGTATCTTTGACGACAGGCTGTCCCAGTCTGGAGTACCATCGGTGGAAGACTGATTGGCCCGACGTTGTCGAGACAGGGCTCAAACATCCTGGCAAGATGCTCGCGGCGGTTTCAGGAAGGAGCTCATCCACAAGACTGAAAGCCGGAAGATGTCAGAAATCACTGAGAACTCCCGTCGTATGAAGTCAGAGACCGCCCGGGAATATGCGTGGCGTATCGCCGATGCCGCCCGGGACGCTGGACTTCAGGCCGACAAGGCGGTGATCATGATGATCAACGGCTGTGATGACATACATGCGTCGAAATGTCTCCGAGGCGCTGCCGCACGACCTGTATCGATCGAGGCCAGCCTGGAGTACTTGCAGAACCGCGATGTCGACTTGGACATACGACAGGATGGAACGCACGATCCGTCTCGTCCCTCTAGTACAACTTCTGCCCCTGGTACGCCTTCCCGGAGCGCCCGAGCGGCATCCAGGACCGCGACGCCGACCCACGAGCTCCAGGAAATGAAGTCTACCTTGTCGCAGATATGCAAGGAGATGGAAACGATGGCTGCCCAACAGGATTCGCGCCAGAACGACCGGTTCTCGACCCTACACGACGTTGTGGCCCAAATTGCAGTCGCTCCGGACCAATCTGTGCACCGTCCTGGCGGCCCAAGTGGTAACACTCCTGTTGTGCCGAATATCAGCTCCGACCCGGATGTCGAAACCAAGGCGGATTCGGTCGTGTGTGGACGCTGCAAGGTTCTGGGTCACCCCAGGGACATTTTGCGGCGCAACGGGATCACGGCTGGAACTGCGGCCTGTGCAGGCTGCACAGAAGGTTGGCGAAAGGGAGCAGACATGAGTTTGTCAACACGTGGAGGGTGAGACGGCGGCGAGGCAACCTCCACTGGCGCAGGGGCGGCTGAGCGGGTAGGCTGCAAACGCGAACGTGGACGAGACGAGGCGGCGGGACGAGGCGTCGAGGTGGAACGAGACGTTGCAGGGGCAGACAGAGTCACTGGGTCATCATCAGGAGGGGTAAAATGGGGCACCTTGAGAGCAGGGGGGACACGATCGTCGGGGGAATGTTGGGCCAAAAAGCATTGGGCATCCGCAACATGTGGAGTATCGAAGGTAGCATCAAAATAACGCTGTAATAAAATCGGCACGTCTTCAAGCAGCGTAGATAGCGGCTCCCACGTGGCTTCATCATCAGACAACCCGAGCCAGTACACCATGACCTCAAACGAGTCACGCGCAGGGCGAACGCCACCAAAAGCGCGCACCATGTGGCCACCCTCGTTGTAGCGCGCAAAAGACAGAATGTCCTCAGTAACATTGAGATCCTTGTCATGATAAAATCGCAGACGGCTCGCGTGATGCGCCGACCGTTCAAAAGGTTCCACCAGGTCTTCGACATCAAAACTCCAATCGGATAATACCTCCACAACGCGCTTGGGGCCACGCCACGAGGCTGAAAGCATGGGCGGATGGGACGAAATAATTGCCACCATAACAAAATATCGAGTGAGAACCGGGTACCCTTGGCCTTGTGCGAACGTGCAGGGCGTCCCTGGCGGCGTGTGGCCTCGCTCGATGCCGCGACTGTGCGATGCATCCGATCCAACGCAGAAACGAGGGTAGAAAAACTAGAATGCCACGCCTGCGAAAGCTCGTCGATGGACATGTTCACCGCTTTACCACGAGACTCGAACACAAAACGCAAAGGTAAACCAGGCGATAGACCAGTAAATGCAGTAACAGGAGAAATACCACCGAGACGTGGGGATGGTTGATGGTTCAATGCACTTTGCACCCCAGGTAAAACACGTGACCATTCGGTGGCCTGGAGGCCGAACTCGGACAACAGCGCACGCATGCAACGCAAGCTTGGCGGCTGAGGACTTCTACCGAACCATTTGACCACGGCGTGTACTGCAGGCAGTCGTGAAATGATGGTGCGACCCCAGCAAGCGTGCAATACACTCGATCACACTGTTGCGAAAATGTGAACCACGATGAGTTACCCAAGTGGGCGCAACGCCGAACATACTGAACCAGCCCACCAAACCTGTGACAAAGGCATCGGCTGTAGCGGTCTTGAATCCAATAAGCATACAGTAGCCAGAGGCATCGTCCTTGAGAGCCAGGACGTATTGCCAGCCGGTGAGCGTATCCTTGGGCAGGGTTAGAAAATCGGTGTGGAGCAGCTCGTTGGGCTTGGTGACATGGAGGGCCTCACCAAGCGGACGTGGCACCATGCGACCCGACACACAGATACAGTGCAAGCAGCACTGAACGAACGCCGCGAAATCGGCAGCCTGCGCAACCCACACGCACCATTCAGTGAGTGATAATAGCGTAGCGTTCACACCACGATGGTCAGAAAGGTGGGCATGAGCAATCACGAGGAGGTGAGCTTGGAGCGATCGCGCTTCATCTGGAATCCACACAAGGTCATACCCTGAACAATAAACGACCCGAGAAGGGTCATTGTCACGCCGGCTGGCGGTGGCAAGTGACCACGCTGAATGTTAGCAATCTCATCGAGCGTGGGCCAAACAAAATCAGCAGTCTGCAGTAGAGAGAGGCACAGGGGCCAGTGCAACAGAGCTGGCGGAGACGACAGGTGATACGATACCCCAACGACTAAGCATGTCAGCCCACACATTGGACTCACCGGGGATGTGAAGGATCGAGTAGTTATAGCTAGTTATAACCATAGCCCATCGTTGAAGACGATCGGTTTGATGGCGCTGCATGGCGCCGTCGGTTGCAAGTGGATCAAAGATGTAGACGAGATTGCGATGATCGGTACAAATCACAAAACCACGAGGGCGCCGCAGCAAGTACTCCAAACGCTTGCAACTCTCCACAATCGCGAAGGCCTCCTTGTCGGGGATGGGCCATCTACTAGCGGCACACGTAAAATAACGACTAAGGAACGCCAGCGGGCGATGACGCTGTTTGGCGAGTGGCAACTGCCTGTCCTCGATTGGAACCTTGGGTGACTACCGAGCCCCAAAAATCGAGGGACGCATCGGCAAACACGCAGACCAGAGACTCATCATCAGCGTGCGAGTGCGGTACCATGGAGATAAGAGTATCCTTGACTGCACGGAAACACGCATCATGTTTGTGAGACCAGGCAAAATTCGACAACAAGACCTTGTCGAGTTTTCGTTGCTGGCGGCTGGAGACCGACTTAGAGGCGACAGCGATGAGCTGCGTGAGCGGCGCTACGAGCCAAGAGAAATGGGGAACGCTTGAGCGCATCCAGTTTGTGCAGCAGAAGAACTTCTGCCGCCGTTGTAGGCGTGCTAAGATCGACCAGGCCCTTGACACGCTCTGGGCAATCGCTGATTCCATCGGCCGAAATGATTTTACCGCACCGCTTCGCACGCTTGAGAAAAAACGAACACTTGTTTGGGTGTAGCTTGAGGTCCGAGGACGCGCATGCCTGGAGCCCGCGGTCCAAAATGTCGAGAAGCGCATCTTCCGTAGAAGCGTAACCCAGAATGTCATCTAGCCAGGCGAGGACCCCACGATACAACACATCTTTGAAAATGAGTTCAACGCATGATTGGCAATAGCCTACGCTGTCGGAACCACCCATGGACACACGCGTCGGCGTCATCATGCCGCGATGAGTCATAATAGTGAACAGTTCCTGGCTTCCAGGGGACAGTGACAGCTGCCAGTAATCACGAAACCAATCGAGCGCGAAGTAAAAACGGCTGCCAGTGAGGAAACCGAGGGCGACTTCGAGCTGTGGCATGGGCCACTGGAGTTGCTCCGTGCGCGAGTTGACTGAGCGGAGATGAACCGTCATGCGATATGAGCCGTCCTTTCTCGGCACAATTCGCGGAGGAGAGACCCAACGGCTACCAGTATTGAGATAGACAAGGCCAGCGGCTTCGAGGTCCCCATGTGGTCCTCCATGAAACGTTGATGAGCTGGTGGGTAGCGCCTGGTGGAGCATTTCGCCGGCGACGCAGATGAACGGACACGCACTTCCAATGGAGGAACCTTAAGAGGAGAACTCGATGCGAAAAACATCCACATAGTGGTGGATCATGGCACGTAAACGCGACAGATGATCACCAGCAAGGCTATTGGCCTCGGCCACAAGTACACGCTCGTGCAACAAACGCCGAACAGCCGGTTGACCGCCAGGGACTGGTAGAGGCAACGAAGTGACGTCTGACACATCCTCATCACACACCGTGTCATCACTGAGCGTTGGAGGTTGAATAAGCGATGGTGCCGAGTGCAATCCAGGCATATCACTGGCCGCCGAGGCGTTGACAGAGTAGGGACCTCGGCTGAGGGAGCCAGAAAACGCAGAGGCGCGACAGATTGGGACTGCGCGGCCAGAGTAGTCACAGGGGCGACCGAAAGCGGCGCACACGACGCGGGAACATCGAGATTTCACTCTGGTGCCAGCGCGCGAGCGCGAACCAGGAGAGCATTGAGGGAATAACCCAACGGTTCCATGACCAGCCGTGAAATGATCAACCGCGGCTCAGTCCGGGCATTATCGACAACCTAGGCAGACACATTGCGCAAGAGCAGAGGACCAGCGGACGTAGATAGCGTAACCAAGCCCAATACAACGCTGTCGAGAACAAAAACAGGTTCATCCATGAACGGTTCCAGAGAGTGGTTAGCACCAGGGATCACATGGCAAAGGACACCCGCGGAGCTCATGGCCGTAACAAGGCTAAAATTGACCACCGAGGTGTCAGCACCCGTGTCGAGCAAAACAGCAGGTAATAGCACAACGTCTTCAACCACCGCTGCCACCACACTGCCCGCAGCCACCACAGTGCAACCGCCGACGACATGATGTTGTTAATCTTCGAACGGTTAGGGCACTCGCGATACGAATGTTCACCACCATCACAAGAGCGGCAAGAGCGAGGCCCCGAATGCCGCGCGGCCTGTTTAGCCATGCGACCGGCGCTGCGGCCACCACGGCCACCGGAGCCACCACGGTTGAACTCGCCGCCCCGAGGCTACGCGCGGTCACCAGGAGCCATGCGCACCGGCGGCGTCGACGAAAACGGGACGGAACGGGTGGGAGGGCGGGAAACAGCGGACGGTGACGTTGGAGAGGGGTCCACCAGGGTCTGATGGGGACGGTGTGACACTGTTTGAACTCGTGACGTCGACCGTTCGCTTTCCCAACGCATGTAGGAACACATTGTCACATCGAGATACTCGATAAATTCCAACGTGTTTGACTTCAAAAGTTTGTTGGTGTTTCGTCGACCACCGTTGCTTTGAAATCTGGTGGAGCCAATGCGTCCACCAAGTACCCAACAACCCGCTTTGGTTCGGCTTCCACGATTGATGTCATGGACAACTTTTCGAGTATAGTGTCCATTGCGTGCACCTAATTGGAAATTCGACTCTTGGAGACGGTGAGTGATAAGTTGACTCGCAGTTCCTTCATTTGTTTGTCAACTCGGGCATAATCAATGATGCCCAGGTCGTTGCCTTCACGGAAATTAGTTTATCCATTCCTCTTCAGATATGGACTCCGCCGGTTTCCAAAGATCATATATAGCCATAAGATTCCGTCGCGCGTCGGCAATGCATGCACCCACAGGCATCACATAGAGCTGAAAACCGAGCTGACGGAGGGAAGCACATTGAAACCAATACTCTTGCTACTGTTGCTTGAACTACTTCTTCTCCAACGCAGTTGAACCATCATAGCGTGGAGGAGACGGAGTGTGCGGCATGCCTTGGAGGCGGTTTGGGCCAGCATATTGCGCGACTGGTGGTGTCGGCAGATTGTCGGCAGTATCACTAGAGTTCTAGTCGTTTTAAAGACCTTCACTCACACTCAAGGCGAAAGACGCACGTTTCACAGGGTCAGAAAGCGCCCCTTGCACGTAAATTTCGGGTGTCAGAAGCATTGTCATGACGGAGAATCTAGGACCCGATCCCAAATCCATGCGGCCAAATACATTTGCCAAAGACGCATCAGAGTCGCGGCGTGCCTGGGCATCCGTTTGGATTGAGTTGGCGGCCGTGAACTGCGGTGCACTAGAGTCGCCAGATCCCGGGGCTGCCTGGTCAGGGTCAGTCGGCGGAGACTGGGAGACTTGGTCATTCACGTTCGCGTGGGGGGTGTGGGCGGTTGTGTCAGGGACCAGACTGTCATCAACGGCGGGACCTTCCGAACTTGCCTATACGCAAGAAATCGAACTCATCTTGAGAGCGCTGAGGATCCTTCCACGACAGAAAAACTAGTTTTGATCTGAGCCCCGGATGGAGGGAACTGTGTGCACAAGTGTGGAAATGGAAAACTGAGTTAACGATAGCAGTTAGCGGGCAAAGAGAACTACACTCACTACAACTAGGGCAAGCCATGATGCACGTAGCTAGCTAGCTAATGCTGACCAGGTTACCATGACTCACACAAACTCCAAACGAGCTAGCCAAACTCAACAAAGGGGGCCCCATGACCAACACTAAGCTTGGAGGGCAAACTTGAATGAGCAAATGCAAACTAATGCATGACAGACGATGCCACAACTTCATCACCCGTGGTCTTCTGGATGTGGCTCTAAGCCACATCACCAGAACAACTCCTGGCATTCCAATGCATCCATGTTTCATTGCGCATTCACAGCTAGCCGCGTCTGCAATCGTCACAGCGACGAAGTCTAGGTGTACGAACCAGTGTACAAACCCTGGCTGCGCAAGTTCTGTCGGAGTTCGACCAATTCAGTACGCATCTTAGCCACGTGGCCGTTCGGTTCTTTCAACGCCGCGACTTCGTCTTGCAAGTCTCGAATCTTTGCTTCCAACTTGTCCGTGGTGGCGACCTCCAC